AATTATTATATTAATAAAATTAATAAATAAATAAATTAAAAATTATTATATTAATTAAGCTAATTGATAATGTATATAATATATTATCTTTTATAAAATTAAATAAAAAATCTGAACAGACCGACAAAAGCAAAAACTAGACCAAGCTTGAACTGTATAAAAATGGGTCCGGTTCGAAAGCCTTGGTCCAATAATTGTCCTTGACCAGTCGAACGTAAATGGCTAAACTGGTTTTTGTAGATTGTGTTGACCGATCCAAATTCTTTACCTTTGGATATGTAACGATTCTAATCTACTTCCATTCTTAACGAAATCGTGAAGAAATTACAAGTTAAATAACATGTACTCGAATTACAGAATAAATTAAATTGCACACCTTATTTATACTACTGAATCCAAATTTCAAGCTTCACAATTTACATCGTGTGTTTATGAACATCATCACAAATTTTGGTGGATGTCTTTTCCGAGCTTCTCATTCTTCATGCACGTTTCTGCTTCCTCAACATGTAAATCATCATCAATGGTGATGGCCACAGTTTTCATGCCATTTCGGCCTTGGGCGATGTTCTCTCTCACCTTCAAATGCTCGTCGACCTTCACCAATTCACTCTGTTTAGTCGTCTTGCTGCATTTTGACTTCTTTATGATGCAAAACAAAGCGAACAAGGCAAATGCTGAGAAGAAAACGCAGCCGAACGACACAAGAACGATAAATATGATGGCCATTGTTGAAATTTCTTGAAGTTTTGTGGGTTTTTGAGATGGATATGATATGAAAACACAAGTTTTGAAGGATGGTTATTTTTAGTAGAGAAATGTGTTGGAATAGTAGTACATGACTTCCAAGTTTCAAGAAACTTGACTTGACTTGACTCTCATGTTTAGTTGATTGTATTGGAAAACACTTCTCAAAAGACTCCAAGACTCTTTTTATTTCTTTTTTTCTTTTTTAATTATTTTAGAGAAGTGACAAACACGTTCTTCGGAGATTCGTAGGTGAAGGTCCAGTCGGTCTGTAATCCCTCAGTGAGAGTCCTTCGATCAAAAATTCGTGGATAGAGACTTCACCGACGGATCACTGAGGGTACCTATCATCGAAGGATCATATCAACAACGGGAACCCAAGAGATGTTATCATCGATGGCTTTTCAAAGGAACTTATCGCCGACTGTTTCATCTATTTTTCCCATAGTAATTACCGTTAGTAATTCTAATTTATTTACAAAAAATTAATTTAAAGAGTAGTATTTCATGTAAAAATACCTAAAACATGTCTGTACAAATTACAACATTAACAAGACAAAGCTATCTTTACAAACGCGTTGGTACAATATACATACTATCTAGGTAGGAGGAAGGGAGGGGGTCCTAATTAACCCCGACATTTGTTACATTTGGTCTTTATTGCAGGATAAATGACATATACAATCATTTATAATGAAGATTATAACTGAAGACAAAGATTCAAGACATTAATCCGGTCGTTACCTTCATTAGAGCCCATTAAAGGTCGACAGTTGGAACACTCCAAGAAGTCACCTATAAAAGGCCAAAAGGATTCAAGAAAAAGGACCTACATCTACATGCACTCAGATATACTCAAGTAGTGGAGCAATCAGAAGAAGTGATTCTTGTTTTCTGCTATTTTTCTTGACCGACGTACTTATTGCCTAAATCATTGAAATCCTTGTTATCAAGAATGACGTCCCTGATTGAATTCCATAGTGCATTGACGATATCCAACATTGTCCGCAGGTTTTTCCCTCGTTAAAAGGGTTTTTCCGCGTCACTAATATCTTTGCACTACAACAAAATCGGGTTTATAGGACACTCCCAAATTCTAAGTGTCCTAATAGACCTCTTTATAAGACTTAGTTTATAGGACCAAAAAATAAAGTGTCCTATCTAAACGTGTTGTAATAAGTTTATATGATGTTTTTTGACGTCGTAATAAGTTTTTAAGGACATTTTTAATATAAAGCGTCCCATTATCAACTTTATATGACACTATTTGAAAAACTGTCTTATAAAAACAAATATCCTATAAAAAATTGAGTTTATAGGACACTTTCTAAAAAATGTCCTATAAAGTTACTAATGCGACACTTTGTATTAAAAATGTCCTAAAAAACTTGTTAAGACACCCAAAAGCGTCTTATAAACTTATTACAACACCTTTAGATAGGACGCTTTGTATTTTGGTCCTAAAAATTAAGTCCTATAAAACGGTCTATTGGGGCACTTAGAGATTGATAATGTCCTATAAACCTAATTTTGTTGTAGTGTTGTCCCTTTTAATTAATGTCTTATTGTTTTGTTGTGTTTATTTCAAAATTGATTGATGTTTAATTGTAAAAGCTCCACAAACAAATCTTAAATTATATTCCATGTAATTTTTGGCATAATCAATTTGGCAAGCAATTTTACCCTCAAGTTAGTTCTATTTCTAGGGAGAAGTTGAAATTACAAGTTAAAATTTAAGATATTACTTATATTATATTTATAGATTATCTAAAAATTTAAAAACGTTATTACAATAAAATTCTTTCTGTTTATCCATTGCCGAACTGAGTACCCAAAACAAAATAACTCGAAATCAGTTCCATTCAATTATAGCTGGTTAGTTCCGAAATTATTAAAAACC